GTGTAGTCTGCCATCTGTGTGGCTGGGACTGACAGTGTACATTGGAGGAGAAGTGAAGAGGCAGCCCTTCATTCCGATGCATCCTTCTCAGTGAAGAACTTGGAGCTATAGGCCCTGTGTGGCTAGGACCCCAGGGCCCAGGTCCTGTGGGTCACGGCTGCCTTTGCCTCCCTGCGGCTTGCATGGGGCCGCCGCATGGCCTCAGGGAGCCTGAGTGGCCCTTGCCAGTGGAGTGTGGCTTGCAGCGGCTGGCTCACCAGGGCGAGGCAAAGGCTCAGTGAGCATCCACGTGGCATACCCACTAAGTGTGCATTCTCTTCATTCCCTGTAGGGCCTGGCTCAGTGCCCACGTGTACTGGGTGCAGGTAGAGATACAGAGGATGAAAGGGAGCAGAGTACTGGGAGACGCCGGCTGGCTGGTAGCCCAGGGTGAGAGTGTGGGCTGCGAGAGGGGGCCTGCCCAGAGACAGGGGCCAAGGCCGAGCGAGAGGCCTGGAGACAGGGGCCCCTGCTGAGTGTCTTGGAATTTATCTCACATGAAGGGGAACCAGCAAGGTTTTAAAAGGAGGAAGCAGACATGATTTGGACTGTTGTCGTTGTTTTAGGAAAATCAACTCTGAAAGTAACGCAAAGAGTGATGAACATGGAGGAGGGAGGCGTGGGCAGGAAATCTGTGGGAGGCGGATGCAGCAGGCGGGGCCGGCCCGGGACCTGGGTCTGAGCGTCCAGAGGGGACGGGCTGGGTCTAGAGCCCCTTGGAAAGCGGAGTGGACAGGACTTGGGGACAGGTTGGATGCTGAGAACTCAGAAGTGACTTGGTGGTGTCTAGTTGAGTAACTGGGTGTGTGACGGCTCTAAAGCTGAGGTAGGGAAGAGAGGAGGAGGTCTGGTGTGAGGAGGAGACAGATGATGACTTGGTAATTGCAGTGTGTACACACCCACAGAAGACTGCCCTCAGCTGTAAAAAATCAAGCGTAGTTGAGCTCAGGAGTTCTGGGCTGTAGTGTGCTATGCTGATCGGGTGTCCGCACTAAGTTCGGCATCAATATGGTGACCTCCTGGGAGCAGGGGACCACCAGGTTGCCTAAGGAGGGGTGAACCAGCCCACGTTGGAAACAGAGCAGGTCAAAACTCCCGTGCTGATCAGTAGTGGGATCGCGCCTGAGAATAGCCACTGCACTCCAGCCTGGGCAACATAGCGAGACCCCCATCTCTTAAAAAAAAAAAAATCAAGTGTAGTCTGGAACACAAACCCACTTTTCTGACTCCTCTAGGGACTTTAGTCACAAACAAGGGGCTTTTAAGTGGCCCATCAACAGATAGGTTCTCGGAGGAGCTGTACTTAACCGTTCCAGAGGCACCTGGTGGTTCTAGGAGCTGCTAAACAGAGAGTAGACTTCACAGTTAACTCAGATTCAAAGGATCCCTACCCCTGAGGGCCCCAGGAAACCTGGGAGAGGCTGGCCCGCGTAACCATGAAGAGGTTAGGTTCAGATCTTGGGTCTCCTAGTCACCAGCTAAGACCTTAGTCAAGTCATTTGACCTGAGTGGTTTGTTCCTTTGTTTATAAATTGGGCCTCGTTATGGCAGTTTGTGAGGCTGTCATGTCCAGACACATAACACAAGGCCTGGCATATTTTAAACAATAAATAATTAGCAGCTGTTGTAGCTCTTGTTATTTTTTAGAGAGGGAGTCTTGCTCTGTTGCGCAGGCTGGAGTATAGTAGCTATTCACAGACATGATCATAGCGCACTGCAGCCTCAAACTCTTGGGCTTAAGTGATCCTCTTGTTTCAACCTCTCGAGTAGCTGGGATGACAGGTGTGTGCCACCCTGCCCAGTTGTTATTATTGGTGGCTGTGCTTAGGCAAACTTCAGGCCTGGGGATATATATTGGGTTTTAAATATATTCATATCCTCTGTGACTGTGGAAAAGTGAAGCCTAATTTTAAGTGCTATATTCTAATGGGAATAAACAAGAATGAAGTTCTCATGGTTATTGGGAGATCGTGGCTGTTCTTTCATTCATTCATTCATTCATTCATTCGGCGACAGTTGAAGCTATCCCAAAGTGTTCATGGGCTAATAGGGGAGGCTAACATGAAAACATGTAACTATGGAAAAATAATAGTGGCATTATGGGTTGGGCGTGGTGGCTCACACCTGTAACCTCAGCACTTTGGGAGGCTGAGGCAGGTGGATCACTTGAGGTCAGGAGTTTGAGACCAGCATGACAAAACCCCATCTCTAGAAAAAATATAAAAAATTAGCTGTGTATGCTGGCAGGTGCCTGTAATTCCAGCTATTCAGGAGGCTGAGGCAGGAGAATCGCTTGAACCTGGGAGGCAGAAGGTTGCAGTGAGCTAAGATTGAGCCACTGCACTCTAGCCTGGGCAAAAGAGTGTGACCCTCTTTTCAAAAAAGCAGTGGCATTATAAGGTTCCTGGGTAACTAGGAGAAAGGGGGAAGAAGGGTTGCCCCCAGCTGGAGGGAGGAGCAGGGAAGGCAGGCTAGACAGTGAGTAGGAGTGTATTCATGGACAGGCCAAACCATGGGAGCAGTTTGCTGGGTGGCCAAGGAAACGGGTGTTCCTGTTGATGAAGGTGACCAGTGGAAGCCCTGGGGCCTGACTCAGGTGGGGGATGAAGAAGAGCCCAGTGAGGCTGGAGAGGTGGCCTCCTTAGATGCCATTCCAGAGGGAGCCACTGGAAGGTTTAAGGTGGAAGATGCAGTGGTCAGACTTGCACTTCAGAACACTTCCTTTGGTAGGTGCATGAGGAATGTGCCAGAGATGGCAGGCGCTTCAGCTAGCAGTGGGTGAAACTGAAGGGGGAATTGGATGCTGGAGAGAGTAATAGAATCAAGACGTAGAACGGGTCATGTCAGCAGGACATGGTGACTCATTGGACTGTGGGGAGCAGAGAGAGGGTGAGGTCACCAGGTCTCTGGTTGCTCCACCAGTGAGAGGCGGGCCGGGCCTTCTGGGCCTGGGACGGTTGAGTTGGAGGTGCCTTGGAGACGCCAGTCCCAATCGTCTGGCAGACAGCTGGATCAAGGGAGAGGTCTGGGAGGTGCCAGAAGGGTTGAGGGTCCAGAGAGAGGGCCTGTGGAGTGAGGGAGGCCCTGGGGCGGCAGCTGGGCCTCACTGTCCCTGTGGTCTCTGAACTGAGCCCCATTGAAACTGGAGGAGCCCCCAGCCTGGAGCTCAGAAGGCAGACTCCTTCCTAGAGATCCAGGCAGACCTTGCAAGTTTCATTTTGTTTTGTTTGGCCAGGTTACATAAACAGAATAGGGAGACCTTCAGATCATTGTGACTTTTGTCGGGAGGAGGCTCAGCAGGCCGAGGGAATCCAGAGCTGCCGTGAGAGGCTTGGCTGGGGAGGGGAGGCCCTCCAGTTATCTTGGACAATCACTCCTTGGGGGCCTGAGACCTGGCTGGCTCTTTGTATCTGGTTATCTTGCCTGGCTGGCGGGAGACGGTGTTGGCTGATAGGAGGGAGCTGACAGGCCTCTGGACTGGATCCGAGACAGGGATGCCCTCCCCTGCATGGTCCCTCCTCTTCTGTAGGATGGGTTGAGGCTTGGGCCAAGGACCCATGGGGCAAGCAGGGAAGGTCAGGGAGTAAAATGAGCTGGAAGCCGGGGTTGGCAAATGAAACACAAGGGGGTTATTTTTCTCATCTGGAAGTGTCCTCCTCTCAGGAGTCTTAGTCCGCTTCTTATTTTCCCATTTCTCGTAAAGAACATGGGCACTGAGAAACTTTCCCAGTCATAGTGCTGGGTGTGGCAGGATGTGGGGGCCGTGGCCGGCACCTGAAAAGGGGCAGCACCGCCTCAGCTCATCGCTGCCACGAGGGAATGCAGGGCCAGTGTCACCAGATGGTTAGTTTCAAGAGAATCTAGGAATCCAGATTTAATGGGAAATCTCCCAATTGGCATACATTTTTAAATAAGCACTGCAGGCCAAGTGAAGTCTGCTTGTGGCCTGGACGAGGCCTCTGGGGTGTGGTTGGTGCTCTCTGGGCTAGCCCGGCCTCTCTGACGTCCTTTCTAGCCATGGCACACTGCAAGTTATCACCGGAGGAGGAGAGGACACTTGACAGGAGCACACTGAGCCTGTTCTAGATTCTTCTCTGGCAGGAGCCCGAGTGGCCTGGGCCAGGCTGTGTCCCTTCCCTGGAGTCTCCCTTCCTTATCAACATAATAAAGGCCAGGCTGGATCTGTGGGTTTGAACCTTCTGTTCCTTAGCAGCAGAACTTTGTTTCATTTGAATCTTACAAGAGACAAATCACAGTGTATGAAATAGACTGAAAATCAGAGCTGCTCCAGTCGCAGGGGAGTCTGGAGTTCTGCCCCGAGGCTGCCTCTGCCCTCCCCCAGAGGCACCTCTGCCAGGCTCCACAGAACACAGTGTGGGACTTAACCTTCCGGCCGGCCCTCCGCACCCCTCCCGGCCCTGGTGTTCTGTGGGTTCAATGGGAGGACAAGAATGGCGGCCAGAGGAGAGCAAGCCACAGTGGGTCTGCCCCACAGCCCGCTCCTTGCCCACATTTTGTCCAGTCCCTGGCACGGGGTGACCGGCCAGCCACTGGGTGCAGCTGCCACTTCCTGGGTGCTTTCCATGTAGTTTTCCTCCTCACATCAGCCCTGTAAGGTGTGCGTGGCTATTTCCATTTCGCAGGTGAGTAAACCAAGACACGGAAAGGGGAAGTGAGTTTCCCACAAGGTCAGGCGGCTGGAAAAGGAAGGGTCCCAGGTTCCGCCTAGGCATCTGAGACCCCACAAGTTGCCCCCTTCCCATGGGGCCTCCTTTATTCTTCGCGCAGAGCCACGATGCTCCCGGGGCAGTCCCACATACATGTGGATACCAGGTCCCGGGAATGACAATGCCATCTCTTGTGTTTCTGCGGCATGCTTCTTTGCTTTCAGACTTGATCTCCTTTTGCTGGCATCAAGCTTGATCCATCTAAGCAGGACTTTCCTTTTTATCACCACACAGGAGGCTGAACCATCTGAGCCCAGAAGTGCTGAGGTGACGAGGAAGCCCAAGACTACTGTTCCTTCTGTGAACAAGAGGCCCAAGAAAGAGACCAAGAAGAAGCGGTAGAAGAGGAGGCCCGAGGAGCCGGGCAGGCAGGGAGAGGGCCTTGGGGACAGCCCTCCTGGGAATCTACATCCTGTTCCCCTCTCCGTCCCAGGCTCAGGGTCCGAGGAGGCCACAACGCCCTCTGACCGCAGAGATCTAAACAGTCATGACAGTCCCCAGGCTCCAGCTGGGCAGTCTACCACTTCCTCTTCCTTCTGCCTCTGTGACGGTTTGGAGTCAAGGGGACTGAAACACACCGTGAGCAAAGACTGTATTAGGAGGTTTGTTCAGAAGTCAGGTCAGCTCACAGAGTCACACTTTCTTACTTAGTCATGTGTGCAGCCTTGAGTCATCCCCTCCTTGTGGTTGACACTACATTTTGGAGTCATTAATGCTGACGAGCACACCCTCTCCCATTATTTGTGCACTACGGATCTCCTGCTAACCAGTCACCTTTGCTGCTGCTGTGTAGACAGAGCCAGGCCTCACCTGTTTGTTTAGACCAAGACACCATGGCCATGCAACATTCGTGATCCCCCTAGCTGTGACAGCCAGGCCCAGAAAATGGCCGATGTGAGAGCCAGCAGATGGCCCAGGCCGGGGTAGGCAGTGCCTGCATCTGCTCCGTCAGGTGCAGGGATTTGGCTGAAGGCATGCATATTTCCTGGGCACAGACTTCCCAAGCCTCTGAAATGGGAGGCTCGTCAATTTCAGACCAACTTCCTTTCTACCCATCATAGCACGTTCAAGGTGTGCCTTTTCCTTCCACCTGTACATCCCCCGTCCCTTCAATTCTTCCATTCCCTGATCTGCGAGAGTTCCTGGGGGAAGCGTGGTGAATAAACTGACATGCATGCTGAACCTGCCTGTGTTGTCTTTTGCTGAGGGAGAGGGGAAGCCTAGGGCCCTGCCCTGGAGGTGAGGGAAAGGCTTGCCCCCCAGAGAAGTGGGACAATGGGGGCCGGGAGGGCCAGAATGGGGTGGCTTTGGTGAGAACAGCTCTGCAGGCTGAGCCATTCTGGAAGAAGTTTTCAGGAAGAGTCTGGCTAAGTGCTTTGTGTGGCCCTTAGTCACTGGAAACACTTGTGAACAGCCATGGGTGTGTGAGAGTTTCCACTGGGTCCCCACTCATTCCCCAGGTTCCTTATGAGGAAGATGCTGCTTGTCCTCAAAGTGGCTTGAGAAAAACCAAGTGCAATACAGTAAAAGGCCTTACATGGCATTGGACAGGTCTAGCCACTTGCCCTGAATCCGCTGCTGATGAAAAGCCCCGGCCCCTTTGTGACTCAGATTAGCCCAGCTCGTTTACGGCCGCCAGACCACTTGCCCAAATGTCAGGACTGATGAGCATCTTAAGGGATGAGTGACTGTCATCTCCATTGAGGAGATGACAGTCCAGACTAGAGAGTGTCCACGCTGGGATTTGGACCCAGCCTACGGCACATTCCTTGGTATTTAACATGTATTTAGCGAGTGTTGGTATTCACGTTGCTGTGAGGGTCCTGCTGTGCTGCAGAGGGGCTTGGCAAGATCTAGCAGTTTAGGTTTCAGGAGAGGAAGTCCGGGGGCTGGAGCTTGTGCATAATGAAGGGCCAGTCATGGCCAGATCCTGGCGCAAGAAGGAGCTACTGCAGAGTGTTTCTGTTTCTCAGCACTTAACGAGAGCTTCGGTGCCAGGCACCATGCTAGGAACTGAGGATGCAGAAATAAGGAACCTTTCAGAAACCCAGAGTGCACCTGGCCGAGCGGGAGACTCAGACATGTAAGCAGGTTTGATGTGGGGAGTTTCTCCAACAGAGGAGCAGCAGGTGTTCCCAGGGGCACTCAGCCCAATCTTGAGGGGTCAGTGTAGCCACCTGGCAGAGTGGAAGTGATGGAGCTGAGTCTTAACGGCTCAGCAGGACTTGAGACCCCAGGGAAATGAGGCTGGGAAAGCAGGGGTGGGACCAGTAATGCAGACCTGTTTCAGCTTGTGGAGGAGAGACAGCTTCTGGCTCCCAGGAGCAGTGCTACCTCAATAGATCCAACTCCCTTACATTCTCTCCCTTAAAGCTAGGCCAGACAATAGCCCTCAGAAAGCAAGGGCTGTCATCCTCTGCTCCACCAAACCCTTCTCCCACATTTACTTTGGGCAGAGTTTGCAGCATTTGGTTCTCTTGGCTTTTGGGACCCATCCTCTCTGGATTTCCCTTCTCCATTGCTGGTTTCTCCTCATGAGAGGGGCCCAGGCTCAGTCCTTGGTCCTTTATCTTCTGTTACGCAGAAGCTCTAGTCCCTAGACTTCCTCTCTGCACACACTCCTTTGGAGATCCCATCTAGGCTCGTGGCTTTAAATACCACCTGTATTCGGATTTTCCAGAGAAATATAGAAGGAGACTTTTTTTTTTTTGAGACAGAGTCTCACTCTATCCCCCAGGCTGGAGTGCAGTGGCACTCAGCTCAGCTGACTGCACCCCCACCTCAGCTCACTGCAACCTCCGCCTCCTGGGTTCAAGCGATTCTCCTGCCTCAGCCTCCCAAGTAGCTGGGATTATAGGCCCCTGCCACCATGCCTGGCTAATTTTTGTGTTTTTAGTAAAGATGGGTTTTCACCATATTGGTCAGGCTGGTCTTGAACTCCTGACCTTACATTCTGCCTGCCTTGGCCTCCCAAAATGCTAGGATTACAGGTGTGAGCCAACATGCCCGGCCGATACCTTTCTTTTTAAGTTTTGTTTGTTTGTTTGTTTTGAGATGGAGTCTTACTCTGTCCCCCAGGCTGGAGTGCAGTGGTGCCATCTTGGCTTACTGCAATGTCCACCTCCTAGGTTCAAGCGGTTCTTCTGTCTCAGCCTCCCAAGTAGCTGGGATTACAGGTGCGTGCCACCACGCCCAGCTAGTTTTTGTATTTTTAGTAAAGATGGGGTTTCACCATGTTGGCCAGGCTGGTCCTGAACTCCTGGCCTCAAGTGATCTACCTGCCTCAGCCTCCCAAAGTGATGAGATTACAGACATGAGCCACTGTGCCCGGTGAGACTTCTTGTAAGATATTGTCTCCAGTGATTATGGAGGCTGAGAAGTCCAACATCGGCTGCTTGCAAGCTGGAAACCCAAGAAAGCCAGTAAAGGGCCGATGGTGTAGATTCTGTCTGAGTCTGAAGGCCTGAAAACTTGGAGTGCTGAGAGCAGAAGACAGATATCCTAGCTCCTGCAGTCAGGCAGTGGGAGGGGAACCTAACTTTCCTCCATCTTTTTGTTCTGTTCAGGCCCTTAAGTGGGATAAGGCCCACCTGCTTTACTCAGTCCACAGATTCAAATGCTAATCTCTTCCGGAACACAGACACACCCAGAAATACTGTTTAATCAGATACCTGCGCGTTTGTGGCCTAGTCAAGTTGATATGTTAAATTAACCATCACACCACTCACATGCTGATGCCTCCCAAACACATCTCTCCAGCCCCTCTCTTAAACTCCAGACTCACATACTGACTTCTTACTCATTGTCTCTATTTGAATACCCAACAGGCACTTCAAAGCACATTCCTGATCTCACCAGCAACCCCAAGCCTGCTCTTTTTGTGGTCTTCCCCATCTTAAAGAGCATCTTAAAAAAAACAGTGTATATTTAAGGTATACAACTTGCTGATTTAATATATGTAGATGTTGTGAAATAATCACAAGCTAAATAAAATGCCCGTCACCTCACATAGGTGTGTGTGTGTGTGTGTGTGTGTGTGTGTGTGTGTGTCTGTGTGTGTGTCTCTCTCTCTCTCTCTCTCTGTCTCTCTCTGTCTCTCTCTGTCTCTCTCTGTCTCTGTGTCTGTGTCTGTCTCGGGCGGTGGGTGGGGTGGACGTGGGAACACTTAGGATCTTAGAAAAATTTAAGTATATACAGTTGACCCTTGAGCAACATGGGTTTGAGGTGTGCCATCCACTTATATACAGCTTGTTTTCAGTAAATACAATTCCTTCATATCCATATCCACATCTACAACCAAAGGCAGATCAAAAATAGGGTTTGTGGAATGTGAAATCCACACAGATGGAGGGCTAACTTCTAGAGGCAGGTTTCACAGGGCTGCCCTCGGGACTTGATTATGTGTGGACTTTGATATCTGTGGGGATCCTCAAACAATTCCGAGATAGATACCCAGGGATGACTGTAGTACAGTATCACTGTCCATAGTCACCATGCTGTACATTAGATCTCCAGCATGGTTGTACCCCTTAACCAACAGCTTCCCATCACCCACTACCCCCAGCCCTTAGCAACCTCCATTCTACTCTCTGATTCTATGAGTTTGACTATTTTAGATTCTACATACAAGTGAGATCATGCTATGTTCTCACTTTCTCTCTGTGTGTCTGGCTTATTTCACAGGTTATCCATGTTGCTGCAAATGGCAGGATTTCCTTTCCTTTTTTTTTTTTTTTTTTTGAGACAGAGTCTTGCTCTGTCACCCAGGGTGGAGTGTAGTGGCTTGATCTCAGCTCACTGCAACCTCCGTCTCCTGAGTTCGAGCGATTCTCCTGCCTCAACCTCCCGAGTAGCTGGGACTACAGGCGCACGCCACCATGCCTGGCTAATTTTTTTTGTATTTTTAGTAGAAATGGGGTTTCACCATGTTGGCCAGGCTGGTCTCGAGCTCCTGACCTCGTGACCTGCCCGACCCAGCCTCCAAAGTGCTGGGATTACAGGCGTGAGCCACCATGCCCAGTCTGGATTTCCATTTTTTTTTTTTTTAGGCTTAATAATATTCTATTGTATGTATACACCATATTTTCTTAATCCATCAATTGACGAACATTTAGGTTGTTTCCACATCTTATCTATTATGAATAACGCTGCAGTAAACATAGGAGTGTAGCATCTCTTTGAGACACTGATTTAATTTCCTTTGGGTAAATACCCAGGAGTGGGATTGTTGGATCATTTGGTAGGTCTATTTTTTTAGTTTTTGAGGAGCCCCTATACCATTTTCTATAATGGCTGTACCAATTTACATTCCCACCAGTAGAGTCTGAGGTTTCCAATTTCTTCACATCTTTGCCAACACTTACCTTTTGTCTTTAAAGTAATAGCTGCTCTGATAGGCGTGAGGTGGTATCTCCCGGTTTTGGTTTGCATTATTTGGTGATGCTGATAGCCCTTCCGTAGACCTGCTGGCCTTTAGTATATCTTCTTTGGAAAACTGTCTATTTAGGTCCTTTGACTATTTGAAAAATTGGGCTCATTGGTTTTTTTTTTTCCTATGGAGTTGTATGAGTTTCTTATATATTTTGGATATTAATGCCCTATCATATATATGATTTGGAAACATTTTCTCCCGTTCTGTAGATCGCCTTTTCATTCTGTTGATTGTTTCCTTTGCTGTGTGGAAACTTTTCAGTTTGATGCAGTCCTGTTTTTCAATTTTTGTGTTTGTTGCTGTGCTTTAGTGGCCAGATCCAAAAAATTGTTGCCAAGGCCAATGTCAAAACTCTGTTTCCTGGCTGGGTGTGGTGGCTCACACCTATAATCCCAGCACTTTGGGAGGCCTAGCTGGGAAGACATTTGAGGCCAGGGGTTCGAGACCAGCCTAGGCAACATAGTGAGAACACAGTGAGACGCCATCTCTACAGAGAAAAATAATAAACTAAATTAAATTACATATATATATAATTTTTAAAAGCTTTTTTCCTATATTTTCTTTAGGAGTTTTATAACTTAAGGTCTTACACAAATCTATTTGGAGATGATTTTTTGTAGGGATTGGATCCTACTATGTTGCCTAGGCTGGGCCTGAACTCCTGGGCTCAAGTGATCCTCCTGCCTCAGCCTCCGAAAGGTCTAAGATTATAGGCTTGAGTCTCTGTGCCCACCCCTAGCACCATTTATTG